AGGTCAAGTGCAATATGAAGTATATATATATATATATATATATATAACAATAAATATCAATTTTTTGTCAGCAATGTTGAAATATTTATTAAGCTAAAAATGTTGGGGTTTGTTTTGTTAGTCACATAATGGGCTACCTTCTGTAGTACTAATAGTTTAATATTGCTCTCAACTACCTCACTGTGGTGTTACTGTAAGTAGGTTAATCTCATAAGAGCAGACATTAGGCTGTTAGTGTAGGACCTGCCAAAGATGGGGTACATTGACGTTGTGGCAGGCTTATGCAATGTATGATCATATAATGTAACTAAACCCCCATTATTTTTGCCTAGATTAGGTGTTTTTAAAAAAAACTAATAAAATCTTTCAACATTGAAGTTGCTGTTTAGTGGATAGGTGAGTGCGCTGGATCTTGTGTTTTGTATTATTTGGCCCCCAGCAGCACCCCCATTTATGCATGTTCAGGTGAGGCAGCCAACCCCCCTTGTTTCATATGTATATATTTGGGAGTCTAGCCAACTCCTTGGTTTTGCACCCCTCCCTGTCACAGGTGCCTCATCCCAGGGCCCTATTTAGCCTTGTACTGCAGAGAGCCCCAGATGGAATTTTTTCCCCAAGTGGTTAATCTCATAAGAGCAGACATTAGGCTGTTAGTGTAGGACCTGCCAAAGATGGGGTACATTGACGTTGTGGCAGGCTTATGCAATGTATGATCATATAATGTAACTAAACCCCCATTATTTTTGCCTAGATTAGGTGTTTTTTAAAAAAAACAAATAAAATCTTTCAACATTGAAGTTGCTGTTTAGTGGATAGGTGAGTGCGCTGGATCTTGTGTTTTGTATTATTTGGCCCCCAGCAGCACCCCCATTTATGCATGTTCAGGTGAGTGCAGCCAACCCCCCTTGTTTCATATGTATATATTTGGGAGTCTAGCCAACTCCTTGGTTTTGCACCCCTCCCTGTCACAGGTGCCTCATCCCAGGGCCCTATTTAGCCTTGTACTGCAGAGAGCCCCAGATGGAATTTTTTTTCCTCAAGTAAGTGGTTAATCTCATAAGAGCAGACATTAGGCTGTTAGTGTAGGACCTGCCAAAGATGGGGTACATTGACGTTGTGGCAGGCTTATGCAATGTATGATCATATAATGTAACTAAACCCCCATTATTTTTGCCTAGATTAGGTGTTTTTAAAAAAACTAATAAAATCTTTCAACATTGAAGTTGCTGTTTAGTGGATAGGTGAGTGCGCTGGATCTTGTGTTTTGTATTATTTGGCCCCCAGCAGCACCCCCATTTATGCATGTTCAGGTGAGTGCAGCCAACCCCCCCTTGTTTCATATGTATATATTTGGGAGTCTAGCCAACTCCTTGGTTTTGCACCCCTCCCTGTCACAGGTGCCTCATCCCAGGGCCCTATTTAGCCTTGTACTGCAGAGAGCCCCAGATGGAATTTTTTTCCTCAAGTAAGTGGTTAATCTCATAAGAGCAGACATTAGGCTGTTAGTGTAGGACCTGCCAAAGATGGGGTACATTGACGTTGTGGCAGGCTTATGCAATGTATGATCATATAATGTAACTAAACCCCCATTATTTTTGCCTAGATTAGGTGTTTTTAAAAAAACTAATAAAATCTTTCAACATTGAAGTTGCTGTTTAGTGGATAGGTGAGTGCGCTGGATCTTGTGTTTTGTATTATTTGGCCCCCAGCAGCACCCCCATTTATGCATGTTTAGGTGAGTGCAGCCAACCCCCCCTTGTTTCATATATATATATATATATATATATATATATATATATATAATTACAGTTAAAAGATCACTACAAGCACCATAACCACTATAACACATATGTGCATTACAGCAAAATCAGCATATATGTGTAAATAAAAATTACCATAAATAAGATATTCTGTTCATGGCAAGAACCTGGTTTGTTATTTGTTATTGGCAGTTTGGTCACATCTATGTACAGACGTGCCAAGAGAGGTATGGGATGAGTTGGGATAGTGGTAGGTATGTTCATGATGCAACTAGCTTTTCTGTAACGAGTCGTATAATCCAGCACGCTTGCATGTCAGCATGCAGTGTTTATAAGCTGACATGCCTTGTGTTTAACAAGTTCAGCGTTGGAGAGCTCTAACATGAGCTCCTGTTGCACTTTACAATATTCTTCCAACTTTTGGTGACATAGCAAGCTTATCTGAAGGACTGTGTACATAATGTAAGGTGAGTCGGTTTAAGTCTGACATTCAGGTTGGGTGCTGCTAAAGCCCTGACTTGTTGAACCGAACATTAAAAAAAGGCAGAATAAGCTGGATGTCACTGTTTAGGGCAAAGCAAATCATTGGCACCAGCCAATGAATGTCAGCCAACTGTCAGGCAATAAACATAGTCCCGCGTTAGCTCTCTGTGCTCAATAGAGCAATTGGCTTTCTCCTGGCAGTACCTATCAGGACCCAGATAAGTTGTCAAACTTATGAGGAAGCATTAGCCTAATGAGGCTAACGTGAAAGCATTAGCCAAAACAGCAATGAACAGCTGTGATTGGCTGAGAGTGTCAGCTGATGGATTTCAGCCTATCACAGTGCCCATTGCAGTTGTAACAGAGTTTGTTAGAAAGCCAGGGTGATGTCCTGTCCCTGTGGCACAAGTGTCCAAAAAAAAGATTAATGTCCCTGGTTTAACTAATTTCCCAGGGAAAGTGTTTAACGAACAAGTGATCCACGCATTACTGTGTTTAGGGGATGAAAGGCCAAAATTATTCATTCAGGAATCAAAAATGCACACTATTTAACAGTCCTGGATTCAGTGGAACTGTTTTGAATTTGGAGTTCTGTCCCACCACTCTGATGTCTCCAATTAGTTCAGTGCAAATGCATTACTAGATAGCCCACCTACTATAGCTTCCCCCTTCTTGACTACCATTCCGTCCATCCTACATCCCATTATTGGGAGGTAGGACATTAAGTTAACCATCTAAAATTAGAAGAGCTAACTTTTTTGCCCGCTCGTCTGGTGAGTGATGAGTTTTCCTGTTATCTTTCAATTGCCTATAAACTTACATAGACTGAAAGCCAAATAATCAAATCCTAATTCAATATCTTTCTGTTAAAATTATATAAAATATAATGCTAAATATAAATAAAATACAATTTCATTATTTATTGAACATAGCTTCTAAAAGAGTAATACATAGCATTCACACATACTAATATATGACACAGTTTTTCTTTTCACGGCACAGTGGGAAGAAATGTACTTTAAAAGAGCTACAGTGAAGTTCTTAATAGTAGTTTTAAGCATAATTCCATCTCAGTGTGATTTCCCAAATGCACATCAATGAAAACAGTATGTGAAGTAAAGGCCTTGATTTTTTATTGTTCTATCTTTGCAAGCCCCCTCCCCCCCACACACACACATACACCCCCCTCATATGATGAGCTGTTAACATTTCAGATTTTTTTTAAAGGAACAGTAGAGTTTAAACAGAGACTGTATCCACCCTAACCACTACATGGTATTGTAGTGGCTATGGTGCAAAGTGATTATAGATTCTACAACTTCTGGGTTTTTTGTGTGTGTTTGTTTAAGAGGCTTCACGTAAACTAGGGATGTCTCTGGTACCTTTAGCCTCTAACCTCTGCATCTGATCTGTCAAAATGTTATACTTTCTCAATACCTATAAAATGTTTCAATGATATGAGAGTACATTGCGTGCTCACAGCATTCAATAATAGTCATTGAGTGCTGTGCTCCAGCAAACTTTGGTCACATGAATTGCTGCAGCCTTTTTGGTACGGCCAAATCAATTATAGACCACAGTCCACCATTGCATTTTATGAACTTGCAATATGTACTGTGCAAATATGTGTGCAGGATCCTAGTGCTAATGAAATATTGATGTAAATGTGTTATTTCTCAACTCTGGAATACTGTCCAGATTAGTTCAGAAAGCATATTTAATTTATTTTTTAACTATGGTTACTGAAATGTGAATTGTTTCGAGTTCTAAGTAAATTCAAAGGAAATGTCATAATTTTAGGGCAAAATAACTGAACTTAAAGAGACTATAGTCACCCAGACCACTTCAGCTCAACATAACAGTTTCAGTTTACATTTGTGGTTAATCCAGCCTCTACTGGCTGTCTTCCGTCACTGGAGCACATTCGGCTTCAGTGACGTCGGACAGGGGAGCTGACGTCGGACAGGGTAGCTGACGTCGGACGGGGAGGAGAGGTCACCAGCGCAGAGGGAGCCCGGCGTTGGATTAAGGTAAGTGGCTGAAGGGTTTTTTTTTTGTTTGTTTGTTTTTATAATTCTTTATTTTGGGTGTGCACAGAGTTAACAAATAGCCTTGGTGAGCCACAACAGCGACACCTGGTAAGGTTGGTGAACATTGATATTACATGTCATGGCAATCGTTATACAGGCACATTTTATGGTAATATGCTCTCTATTACAGTAGTTCAGATAAATTAGCAAAAAGCATGTGTCATGGAAGAATAGGTAGAGTAGAGACAAAGGAGGAAAACATGGCTTGTGCATAGATTATAGGAACAAGATTAGACTATTAGACTATTCAACTCTTACTAGGCTGGTTAAATCTATCTTGTCTGCGTGTGATTAAATGGTTACATGTTATTCTAGCTTTAAGCTAAGGTGTGGGTGGCTTGGAGACTGAATCATAAGAAAAACAACATAAAAGCAGCAGTAACAACAAAGATTGTGTTTCAAAGCTTAAAATAACCACTCCATGTTGGCCCCATGTCAGCCATGTCAGCCAGGCGAGAGTCCGTGTCGGCATGCTAGGCGACCCGTCTGTATGCAGTGTAGGTTACTTTAATAAGGCAATATGCTTGGTGACTGCAGCAATACTCAGAGACCCGTAGGGTGTCAATGTAGTGGTGCGAAGTTCCCTTTTTGGGTCAGTTGCCGTCCAGCCTGGTGCCTGTTGTGGGTGGGAGGAGAGTCCCTGTATGGTGGCTATAGATGGGCAGACCTTCTGTTTCGGCCCCCTTGCGGGAAGCTGAGCGGTGCGGCAGGCATCCTCCTCGGGGTCAGTATCCACCGGCGCTTCGGGTTTTGGTTCTGCTCCTCCTTGGCTTTTGGGGACTTGGCTCTTATTTGCTGGTTCTCTCTCTTTCGTGGTTGGCAAACCTGCCTGTGTTGTATCAGGAGAGGAGGGTGTGTCTGGCAGCTCTCCCGTTTGAGTTGCCATGCGGTCTCTGCTATTTTGGGAGCGGGCTCTCGCCGGGGATGCGGCACTCAGATGGGTCATAGGATGGGGACCGGGATCACCCCCGCCGGCCCAGACGGGGGGGCAGGGCCAGACCACCTAGCTTCACGTTTCTGCCTTACCGCTGGTGGGCAGGATAGCTGGGCAGCGGTCGTCCAACCCCCGTTCACCGCCCGAGCGGTCTCCATCACGTACGACTTGGATCGCCTCCCAGAGGGACTAGAACCTCGCGGCAAGCCTCTCCTCGGGACAAGGGTTGCCTCTTGCACTGGGGTACAGTTATTAGTCGGTTAGTGAATGTTATGCCGGTTTTTAGGGCCGAAAACTGGAGGAGTTTTCAGGAGCTACTCCACTGTGCGTCCGCTCAGCATGGCGGTCTGGCCCCGCCCCCCGGCTGAAGGGGTTTTAACCCCTTCAGTGCCACGGGAGGGGGACCCTGAGGATGGGGCACTATCACTATAGTGATCCTTAGTGATCCTTTAAAACATAGATTTCTAATACTAATGCCAGGTATATTACAAATACACAGAAGCAGGACATCTAAATGTTGTTTAATTATTTAGTTAATTATTTAGTAAATGCAACTTGTCACATCTACTGCATGTGAGATAAAATATATATATTCTTCTCTGCTAACATCTCTGTCAGAAATAGATATGGGATACTGGGATACTGTATAATCTTTAAATCGTTTTATTAATCACGGAAATCAGTAAAGGATGAACAAATAAAAATTAAAACTGTAAATGTACAGAATTTAGTTTTTCTATATCCATAAAAAGCAATTTATAGCCTGCTATTCATCCTACTGTTCAAATAATTATGTTGAAATTATTTAGTAGTGAAGGAATTAATGTATACTGCTGTAGCTGCAAACACAAGTGGATTGTTTAAAGGAACACTCCAAGCACTCTAACCACAGTGATTATGGTGTCAGGATTGCTTTGTAGTCATCTCAAGATAAGCAGTCAAACGGTTTGTGAATTGTTTAAGAACTTACCTGGGATACCAGGTGTCTCCTGCAAAGAGCATTCTCTGAGATAAGCCCTGCTTTGCAAGGCTGGTTCAGCAGTTGATAGCTGAGCGCTTACTGCCAATGACTTATACCCTGCACAGCTTGGCTTAGCTCGGTGCTGCATCTTCCAGAGGCACAGATGGGGGCACCTGGCACCTTTTGAACCCCGTTGACCCCAGATATGTCGTCAAACTATTAAAAAATGTTTTGAATGAAGTTTAAATCCGGGTAAGGGGGTGCTAGCCAAACCTTCTAAATTGAACTGGTTCTTGAATTGTTCTTTTAAAATCAAAGTAACAATTTGAAGGTTCTTATATCATTTAATTAGAAACTTTGTGACTAAACTTTTGTTTAATAGAAATGGGCCAAGTCTCATCTAATGTGGTTATTCACTAAACTGAGAATTAAAGGTGAATTTAAACTGAACATATTTTTTTTCAATTTGAAGTTGATTGGAATTTACTCATCCATTATACTTCCATGACAGTATAAAAGAAATACTGAAGGAAACAAAAATATATATGACAAGAGGAACACTTTGGGTTTGAACTTTATTGTGAATAGACTAAATAAATTCAGCCAATATACAAGGGGAGAGCTATGCTAAGGAGCATTTATCCTGCACACAAAAACCTAGGGGCATTTTTCTATATTAGAGGTAGATTGCCTCCACTGTAGGGCAGCACATCATGTCTTGAACAGCAGCCTGTGGACCGAAGTCCCAGACTGGCGAGTCCGGGGCTGTGAAGTGCCCTCCACAGGGTTATGGTTGACTCTCCTCTGCCCGAAGCATGGTCTTCGCCTGTGAATGTAGGTCTAGTTTGTATAGGAAAGTCTCTGGATCATCAGCAGTTGTCAGGGTAAGTATGTCATCCCCTCCTGTAACTATGAGCGAGCCCTCCATTTCCATCGATACTTGATGGAGTGATCCCTCAGTCTTCTGGCAATCGGGGCTTGCTGCCTCTTCTCCAGAAATACCACAAATGGGAGATCACCATATAGGGCAACTGCGCAGCCTTCATATTGCACAGTTCCCAAGGCTCTAGAGCAGACTGGGTGCAGGACAGTAGTTCTTCACCCTCAACTCATTCAGGGATACCTGTTAGTTGTATATTCAGCCTTCTGTTTTTGGAATCCAATATTGCAACCATCTTCTGAACTTGGTGGCTAAGCCCTTCCATCTGACTCTTGGTCTCCAACATCTGGTTGTCTCTAGCTTTCTCTCTTGTTTCAGCCGCCTTGAGTTTTGTATGTACAACCACCAGTTTGGCCTGTGTTTCTTGCAAATCTGCCTTCCACACCTGCCTCAGCTGTAGCAGCAGTCTCTTAATGTCCCCTTTTGTAGAGGGTGAAGAGTCATCAACTGGCTCAGACTCCTTGTATACTCCTCCTGAGCCAACCAAGGCTGTGGAATCTGCATCTTCATGAGACTCTTCTGAGGTCTCTGCCTCAATTTGTGCCTTTAGCGCCATCTTGGATAGCGGCCACTCCACGTGACTCTCAAAGGAGAGTCTGATATCTGGCATGCCGGAGCCATCTGGGCGGAGGGATATTTTGTGCCATGTCTTGTCTCTGGGGCATGGTGGGTAAAAGTAGGTGGAATACTGCCGGCAATCTTGCTAAAATTAGATTAACCGTGGGGCTGTGTAAAATCTCTGCTAAAGCACGTGTGGGTTGGCTTGTCATCAGCCACCCCCAGTAAATTTCCAATTTAAAATCACAGTAGCCAAACTAGAAAAAAAATCTCTAAGTTAGCTATACCTTCCATTCTGCTACACCGGTCTTAAAGTGTTATATCAACCACCATGATAACTTCAGTGATTTGAAGTGGCCATGGTGGAAGGAGTCAGTATGTGCAAAACTTAAGGCAGTGTTTCTGCTTTAAAGGAACACTATAGTCACCTAAATTACTTTAGCTAAATAAAGCAGTTTTAGTGTATAGATCATTCCCCTGCAATTTTTACTGCTCAATTCACTGTCATTTAGGAGTTAAATCCCTTTGTTTCTGTTCATGCAGCCCTAGCCACACCTCCCCTGGCTATGATTGACAGAGCCTGCATGAAAAAAAAACTGGTTTCACTTTCAAACAGATGTAATTTACCTTAAATAATTGTATCTCAATCTCTAAATTGAACTTTAATAACATACAGGAGGCTCTTGCAGGATCTAGCAAGCTATTTACATAGCAGGGGATAAGAAAATCTTAATTAAACAGAACTTGCAATAAAGAAAGCCTAAATAGGGCTCTCTTTACAGGAAGTGTTTATGGAAGGCTGTGCAAGTCACATGCAGGGAGGTGTGACTAGGGTTCATAAACAAAGGGATTTAACTCCTAAATGGCAGAGGACTGAGCAGTGAGGCTGCAGGGGCATGTTCTATACACCAAAACTGCTTCATTAAGCTAAAGTTGTTCAGGTGACTATAGTGTCCCTTTAAATATAGCACATCCAGAGATATTGCTAATTGTGTGCTTGGGGCTAGTTTGCAAATGTAAATTCTGTGCATACATTACGACTGTTGTCAATACACACCGCATGATGACCAGAGACGTGAAAGAATACCTGCAAGGGGAAGCTAGTTCTATGGCTCTTCCTGTAGCCTACCTCGGAGTGCATTGTTTTTTTTGTTTTTTTTTTAATTCCCTCCCTTTCCTTCCCTTGCCTGCTCAGAGAGCGTGCATGCACTTTGATCTGGTAAAATGTTGCAATCACAGGCTTCTCTGTGTGAAGTCTGTGATTGGACTGCGCAAAGCTCCAATGATTTTGGATGGGGCGCAGAAGAGCATTGCCGGTAGCTTTACCTTTGGCACTGGAATCAAGGTAAGTAAAACATTTTATTTGCAGGCCAATCAGCATCTCCTCATAGAGATGAATTGAATCAATGAATCTCTATGAGGAAAGCTCAGTGTCTGCATGCAGAGGATGGAGACACTGAATGTTTGGATGCATTTTAGGCAGCCATGACCCAGGAAGGATCTCTAACAGCCATCTGAGGAGTGGCCAGTGAAGTTATCACTAGGCTATAATGTAAACACTGCATTTTCTCTGAAAAGACAGTGTTTACACCAAAAAGCCTGAAGGGAATGACTCTACTCACCAGAACCAATCCAATAAGCTGTTGTTGTTCTGGTGACTATAGTGTCCCTTTAAGCCAAAAGGGTCACCCCTCTCATAAGGGTTATAGTAACCCATTACATTTGAAATTCACTTTGAATTCAGCTTAAATTCTCACCGTCTGTCAACGCTTTTTCCTCGCATATTCTGTTAAATTTTCAAACCTGGAATTTGCTGTGAGTCACAAAAAAGGAAATGTGGATAACTGACAAGAAATGTTATGCCAAAATAGATAAGCTGTAAAAAAAAAAGGTGAAATGTTGATTTTTTGTCCTAAGAAGTACAATTCTTACGCCAGTTTAACACACTTCCATGTTTAGCTAGCAATCCCAAATATGTCTAGAAAATAGAATGCAGACGAGTTATAACAGTACCCGAATTAAAAATGAATTGATACATAGTAATCGTGGTAGATTTCTTATAGCTAATAGTTGATTATCATAATTAAAGCTGTTCACAATAAGCATGGCATTTATAAAATTAAAATTATAGATTAGTTTACTAATATGGGTATATGCTTCTGATAATTAAAAACAGAGTAATTTACTACACTGAGAATTCAAACAGAATTTCAAATTGAAAACAAAACTAACTTAGAGAATATTTCCATTTGGCTATTTAGATCTTGCATCTAAAATGCACTTCCAAGTCACCTTGAATTCTCAATTTAGTGAATACCCTGAAAGTGTTTAACCTTTTATTTACAAGCCATCAATCGCTTAGCTGATTTTTACTGTCCATATTATTTTCTGCAATCAAAAAAGGCAAAAAGCTAATCTAATATTCAACATAACATGCAAGACATCCTGCCTCAGTACATATCCTAATCAACAGTATGGGAATTTATTAAAAAATTTTTTTTAAAGAATGGGCCTGTTACAAGAATACCATGCCTCATCACTTGCAGGGCAATACAACGTCTATAACGCATTTGGTTACATTAATATTATGGCCATAGTATATAAATCATAGGTTATCTCAAGTCAGTTTGCGATGTGGTTTATTTAGGAGAATCGTGGTTATAGTACTATACTATACAAGGGAACGAAGGGTTCTGATACTTCTCTATAATGCCTACTGGGATTTTAATCCCTAAAGGTCCAATAACTGAATAAGTCTGTCATAACAAACTAGCCTTTAAAGATCTTCTTTCAGAATGGAGCATTTATCAATATTCAGAATGTATAGATATGCAAATGCGAAATTAAAAGGACATTGAATACTGGCACAGGGTCTTTAGGGACCAAACTAATGACATGAAAATTTCAGCTCTAATGAGTAACCCCTGAAAAAGAAGAATTCAATTCCTATAAATCCTAAAGGGTGACTGACTCGTTACATTGTAACACACACATACACACTGTGGGCAATTACAGGAAAGCTGTCTTAGCCCTCCCTGTTCACTGCTCCCTTGTAATCAAAGTTCCCTGCATGCAGCAGATACTGTATGGAGCACACAGCAGATGGATTAATCTGCAGCTTACTTGTTTACACAATGCATCTGCAAGCACGGCTTTCTTTAAATCCTTTGTGTTTCACTCACAGGCGGATGGAACATTTTCTGTCTACTTACCAAGCGAGGCTGAGGGCAAGTGTGCTCTAATTCCTCCATGGCTTTTAAGGGAAGTTCATCACAAAGGGATTTTGGGATACCTATTTCTGACTCAGCATCAATGCTGAGAACTGGCATGGCCAGAACAGGCTCCTCTCAGTGCTCTCCAATCTAAAGATATCCTCTCGGGTATTCTTCGTGATGTAATTTTTTTTTTCTTCCTTCCTCTAATTATCCCTGGAGAAAAAAAGAAGGTTGCTGTGAAATCTTAAAAGTAGGATCGGAGAGGCTCAGGGCCTCGGCTTATCACTATAACAACCAGGCAGACAGCAGTAAAGCACACTGAACAGAGCTCGCTGGCCTCATTTGCATGATGCCTTGTGGTTGGCCTGTGTCATGCCAGCACAATTTGAACAGAGTGATGTTTCCTTTGAACAGCATCCTTTGAAAAGAACCCTGCGAAAACGAGGATACAGCATCTGCAATTAATGTTAATTTCTGGATACAAATTACAGATTTTGTTTTCTTTTTCAGGGGTTACTTGAGGAAGATAACATTAGATAAGCATAACTAATTAAATGTCATGTATATATATATATATATATATATATATATACATACACATACATTTGGCTTCTTATCAAGATGCACATTTTTTTCAGTATAGTAAATATGATTAACATAAATAATCTGTTAACGTTTGTTTCCCCGAATATAGCACCAGAGTGATGTTCTGGGCAATCACATTATTAGTTGAAAAAAATCCAATTCGGTTATTTTTTTCAACGCAATTAAATTCAGCATGACCTTTGTTGTTTTGTGAGTAACCCTGATCATGGTTTCAGTCGTACTCCAGTTCTTGTTTTCATTTGATAATGGTTCCGCAACTTGTATTGCACGTTTATTTTTCCGCACCATCACAATCCAATAATATTTTCAGGCGAGGGGCAGACTGCGCAAGACTCATGAATTCACCGTGGGTCTTTTGTCAGTTTGGTAATTCCCCAAATGGCTGGCAGGCGGTAATGTTTACTGGCTTGCAAATTTATTCCTAAATAAAACTGTGGCCACTGCCTTATCCACTAATTGTGAGTCTGACTAGTTTATTTAAGGGGCAACAAGCTGTGGAAAATGGGATTAATGTGTGGGTCTGCAGTCATGCAACTGAAGTTAGAACCAACTTAAAAAAACAGACTTAAAGGGACATTTTACTCATTGTAACTACTCCATCTCATTGAAATGGTTAGAGTGTCTGGAGTACCCGGTGCCTCCCTACCATTCCGCTTTAAGCCTTTTTAAAAAAAATGTTTCAATGCTAAACAAGAGTCCATATCCTCTGTGCTGCATTAGCTACTGAAGAAGCATTAGCCTGAGCAGCAGTTGGTGGCTGTGACTGGATGAGAGTGTCAGCTGACTGCTTTTAGACTATCACAGCTCTTACTTCTAATATGAATTGGTATGGTTAGAAGAAAATACTTCCAGAAGGTATCCGGGCTGTAATTGGCCTCATTCAGTGCTAAACACCTTGAAAAAGTTTATACACTAAATGGAGGTGCTGCACCACAGGACTCCAAGCACTATAACCAATTAAATTAGATGAAATGGTTATGGTACCTACAGTGCTCCCAGGGGTAATTCCCGGGGGTACCAGGACAAGTTTAACCCCTTCTTTGACCTGCCTGGTTAAACAGGTACCCTGGATATCTGCATGTAAATTTATTTAAGTTTCGAGGCTGGTTGGTGGGGTTTCTATTTCATTTGTTGCTGGAGGGTAAACTTGACAGCAATAGTCAGGATCCTGGGAGTGAGCACACAGCATGCTCTGCCAGGACATTTCACTTAGATGCTGATCTGCAAAGCCAGTAGAGAGCGTGGGGATATGACATTATAGTTCTGCCCGCTGCACACAACATCCACTGCTTCACAGATTGCCACAAGAGAGTGATCCCTCCTAGGACTCCAACTCCCATGTAAGTCAGCCACCAACAATAAGGTATGAGGCAGAGGTTGATAGTAACAGAAGAATGGCTACGGAGTAGAGCAGAGGGCAGAAGAGGAGAAATGGAGGTAGGAAAAGGGCAGAAGAGGGGAAGGTGCAGTGGCCAAGAGGACACAATTGATGAGGGAGATATGGACAGAGGCAAAAGAGGGTATGGACAGAGATGCATAATTAGGGGAAGATCTTCATTGCTTTAACTTTTAACCCCTTAAAAACTATTTGGTACCCAGAGTGTTCCTTTAAGTTATTTTGGCTGTTAAATTTAATAAGAGAAGATTAGCTCAATTAATGTGTTGCAAAGTCTTGATTTTGAAACTGTGAATTTTCAAGTGAATTGACTCTGAACTCTTTCAAAATATTAATACTAGGCCTTAGTACTCAAACCAAATTGGCACTGCATGTGACTGTATTGGTGTGTGCTGCCTTTGCTATTGAAGGTTGGAGATTGATGAACTCAATAAATTATTATGGAGAGTCAAAAATGGGTCGCAAGAAAATACTGAGAACGGGCAGCAGCTGAAATAGCCTGCCCTTTGGTCGGTCCCCACTCAGTTCTCAAGCTGATTTTTGCTCATCTTGTGCCATTACAGAGAGAACATATCTGAAGCATATCAGACTGGTCCCACCCATACGGGCGGTCCAGATCCGAAATACCAGCAAGTTCTCTCTGCACGAGAGATACAGCAACTACAGACGATCGTTTCAGCCTTGTTAGGCATCATCAGTGAGGCATAGCTGATATCTCCCTAGGCTCTTGCGACCCATTTTTGACTCTCCACAAGTTTAAAGGGATAATCCAGACGTGGACCCCTTGCTCACGGTGCTTAGGGAGATATCAGCTATGCCTCACTGATGATGCCTAACAAGGGGGAAACGATCGGCTGGGGTTGCTGTATCTTTTGTGCAGAGAGAACTTGCTGGCGTTTTGGATCTGGACTGCCCGTATGGGTGGGACCAGTCTGATATGCTTCAGATATGTTCTCTCTGTAATGGCACAAGATGAGCAAAAATCAGCTTGAGAACTGAGCGGGGACCGACCGAAGGGCAGGCTATTTCAGCTGCTGCCCATTCTCAGTATTCTCTTGCGACCCATTTTTGACTCTCCAATAAATTATTATACTTGATCACTGTTAACAGCATTTCCTAATGAACCCATGATCAATAAGATCAATGCAAAATAATTAATGGCCTGTCATATCAGCAACCAAACCCATTCCCTTTCACCCACACCTTAAACAATAAGAATATATTATGTATCAAAAATCAGTTTGAATTGAGGAAGCAAAGTTTAATAGGTTTTTAAAAAGCTAAAACTATAGAGTGTCTCATCCCCCCACCCCCCGAGTCCCTCCATGTGTCTCATTCTTTCCTCCACGCATTACATTCTCCCCCCCATCCCTCCATGTGTCTCGTTTGCCCCCCAGTCCCTCCATGTGTCTCATTCTCCCACCAATCCCTCCATTTGTCTCAGACACCCCAGCCCCTTCATGTGTTTTATCTCACACCCCAGTCTTTCCATGTGTCTCTCCCATCCCTCCATGTGCCTCTCCCAACTCCCCCTGCCCCTCCATATGTCTCTCACACCTTTTCCCAATCCCCTCCATGTGTTTCTCCCACACTACTCCTCATGCACCGCAAAACCTTCAAGGTCCGGTGTGCAGCCATCTATCCGCTCCTTCCTCACGATGCCTCATGACCTCACATCGCTACACAAGATGGAGGCCGCAAGCCCTACTCTGGGCTCACCCTTCGCGACTCCAACAAGTTTCTCACCGACTTCCTCTCACTCATAGGAGGCACCGATGGGGAGCTGCGGGCCATACTCCCGAACCTACTCACAAAAGTCGACTTTGAGGCCCTCTCCGACCGGCTGAGTTGGATAGTACGAGAGGAGATTGCCCAGATGTGCACAGACCTCGTGAATATAGACGCCAGGTGGCCGAGACTAAGACCCGGTCACTTCGCACAGACCTCGACCTGACCACCACAGAGGTGACCCTCCCATTGTTTTTCTCAACCTTCCCCCTCTTTTCTTGCTCTGCCTTTGCTTGCCGCCCTGGGGAGGCTGGATCACCCGATACGCCAAGAGGACCTGGTCATCCTTTCCAATAATGTCCACAGCCTCAACGTCCTCAAGAAACATTCTAGTCTCCTCCGGGATTCTCCAAGAGACACACTTCCAAGAAGGCCTGACACCAGAACTGAAAGACCACAACTTTCCAATGGGTTTCTTTAGCAACAACCCCTTGCGCCGCACCCTGAGTGTGGGGATTCTGTTCCCACGACGAGTCACATACACTGACACCCTTCAATGCAAACATGGTAGATATATCTTCACAAAGGGCACCCTCCATGATCAGAAATACACAGTTGGAAATATCTACGCCCCAAACTTGAAACAATACTAATTCCTCCCCTCTACGCTGAATAGTATGATGAGGTTTGCAGAGGGCATCTTGATAGTGGGCGGTGACCTGAACTTGGCACTACATCCCGAAGAAGATACCACCTAATATCACCCTGCAATGAACCCGGATAACAGATATGCAAAAACGCACCAACTGGTTGTCACATATTCATCCACACATAAAAATGGCATTTACTGTCCTGACAGGAAAAGTTGTGCTGTCAGAATATTTATATCAGCAGACATTTTGTGCTAAGAAAGAAATTAAAAGTGTATATTGCCAGAGTCACTCAGAACAGAGCGGACTCCATTTTGCTATCTTCAGGATAACAAAGACATAGTTTCTTCTTACTTTCTGTAACTAGCCACTTGCTTGAGCTAAAGGAATGCATTATATAAACACAGACACTAGTGACAGAGAAGACTAAGTAATTAATTTTACTTTCTAAATTTTACAAGGTTCCATTGTAAGTAAGGGGTGAAATTGAGTTTAGAACTGTCAATTTTACAAATTATGATCAAAGTAGTTGCCACAAAGACTGAGACAAACGCTTTGAACTGACAGCAAATCTAAGTTATGGTAGTCATTTTAGAAAAGCCAAATGACGTCAAAATCATCATCAGGAAAAGGTAACTCTTTCCTGGATAGGAAGGTTTAGCTAGACGAGACTGCCCTCTATGGATCAAATACCTAAATTGCGATCCATCGATTGAACCCATCTACAAGTTCCTATTGGCTTATCAACTAATGACGTACAGAGAGTCTGGCCCTTTAAAAGTTAGGACAACGGGAAGAGAGGGTAGTTGGTAGAGAGACTAGTTGGAGTTTGGGAATTCCAATTTGAACATGTGGAGAGAGAGACTCAAGAAACATTCTCTGGGACTAACAATCTACTCTTAAACTCTCTTGGACACTCAACTCTTAAACTCTTTGACACTTAGAATTTTACTCTGACTTTCTAACCAACACCACTTTTCACTATCACTCACGCACCTCCATACAACCAATCAAGTCTCTGGGACTACCTACTCATCTGATGAGAATATCTACATAACTGGCAATTATGCTGGTTTTATTTAATTAATTTAAATTAATTAGAATTTACTAATAGCATGATATATGACTGGATAAATCACGGTCAGATTTCAATATTTAGAAATCTTAGTTAACTAAAGAATATATAGTTATAAACATTCCATTCTGCAGGTGGAATTAAGAATAATTATATATTAATGTGATATTATCACGTGTTAGCATACCGCTGTTTTTATCCAGGTGTATTGATTTGCTCTAAAATAAGATAATATATATCTTTTTAGGCAAATTAAAATTCGGCTTATAGAATCTGGTAGATTATTCTTATTGGATGGTTCCAGGAAATGACTAATGAGTTGGTCTGAATGTTATTTTAATTGAAAATCACAGGAGAATAGGATACTATATGCCTAGGAAGATCTAGCCAGCATTGAAAGGGTTACTCAGTTGACTTAACTGTTAGCCAAGGTTTTATGGCTTTTCGCTGTGAAAAGCTTTACTTTTTGTCTGTAAAGATACCCTCATAAATCTTAAGTGACAGATGATGCTGTTAGCCATTGGAACGTGT